ATCGCGCTGAGCCGACAAACAGCTGATCAGCCGTTTGTCGGCTCAGCGCGGCAGCCATGTAAATTTAAATGAAGCGGCGATTATTTAAATCGCCGCTTCATTCTACTATGTTGGGTAGCCTAATCTACATGCCTCTGTCGCCAGAGGCATGTAGTCTAGATGTACCTTTAATAATTTTGTGAAAATTGTGCAGGGTTTTCCACTCTCTCAAGGTTTTAGTCTAACAATTTATTCCAGTGTTTAGCCACACTGGACATGTTTTTCCTAATGTCCAACCTAACCCTCCCTTGCTGTAGTTTAAGCCCATTGTTTCTTGTCCTATCCTCAGATGTCAAGGAGAACAATTTTTCTCCCTCCTCCTTGTGATACCTGAAAACCACTTTCTCCTTTCCAAACTAAACAAGCCCAGTTCTTTCAGCCTTCCTTCATAGGTCATGGTCTCTAGACCTTTAATCATTCTTGTTGCTCTTCTCTGAACCTTCTCCAATTTCTCCACGTCTTTCTTGAAATGTGGTGCCCAGAACTAGACACAATATTCCAATTGAAGCCTAATCAGTGCAGAGTAGAGAGGAAGAATGACTTCTCATGTATTGCTCACAGCACGCCTGTTAATGCATCCCAGAATCATGTTTGCTTTTTTTGCAACAGCAACCCACCGCTGACTCATATTTAGCTTGTGGTCCACTATGAGCTCTAGATCCCTTTCTGCAGCACTCCTTCCTAGACAGAAAGATAGAAAAATATTTCTTGGGTTGCTGTACACTTTCATATCTTTGTAGTACTCAAGATCTCATCATATTTTGACCATATTTATATGTTTACACTATGCAGCACATATAGTTTGGACAAAACAGTAGAACATATACTGGAGGGGAAATTCCTATATTGGCAAAGGTCACTATTGCAGATTTAATAATTTGGTTTTTCAGTGGACTATAGAACAAACATTAAAACGAAGCTCAGATCACAGTTCTACTTCTCTTCTAGGAAGCAAACAATCAGAAAATGCCTCACCCCATTCCATGTTTGTTTGGCATTATATTGTTCTGGTATGTACTTTACAACATAACTTATGGCCAGGAATTAATTTGCTTGGTACATTATACTCATTGGATATTGCACCTATAGCACTACATTGTTAAATATAGTATCTGCCCTCTTTATGAAAATGGATTTTTTATAAAGATGTTTAAATGAGGGTTTGTTTTTTATTTAAGTAAGTCTGGCTCTAGCTGCATCCTGACATGTCCTGCAGATTTCTGGCCACAAGTCTAAAAAAAAAAAAAAAAAAGGAGATGATGTCTGTCTGTTCCTATTTCACCAAGAAACGCAAATCCGGACATTCCAAACTATGAGAATTGTAAAACCTGTATGCGTTACAAGAATCCAACCAAGTTTTGGCCTCAGTTTCCTAAATAGAGAAAAAGTCTAGTTGATCTAAGTGCTTTCAAATATTCTGGTTCTGGCATATTTGACCACAAGAACAAATATCTAGCAAATGGAACCTAGTGGGATTCTGCAAGTTCAGGGCCTCATTCCCCACATTCCATGGCATGAACAGAAAACAGGTGTAGCACCTTCTACAATACCAAAAATTATAGACCTAATGTGTCCCAACTCCCAAGCAATACAAAAACCGGGTCCAGCAGGATCATGGCAATTTTTCACCTTTTCCAAGTGGCAATTTTTCGTTAAATTTGGTTTCAATTTGAATTTTACTATATGGAACTGCTCCTACTTCAATGGAAAAATGTGGGTGCTAATACATCCAACCCCCAAACCTATCAATTCATGGTCTTTTTATATATGTACTCTTTCAACACACCTGTGAGTTAGAGAAGTACTATATCCCCATTTTACTGATGGACAAATTAGGTAGCAGGACAATAGCACTGGAGAAACATGTGTCAGCTGGATCCTGCCAATTTTCAACTCAACCTCCAAATATCTGTCTAAATAGAAGGAAAAGTGTAGCATCTCCTAGTGCATCGATAAACCTAAAACAATTTGCTATCGTATACAGCAGCACAAGAATATGTATCTAACGGTTCATTCCCATGGGATTAAAACATTAACAAAAACACACACAATCAACTAAGTCTAAAACCAGCTAAATACAGAAGAAATGCAGTTGCTCAAATTTAATTGTAAAATTGGAATTACGGTGCATCAGTGCTCAGTACACCACAAAGTAACATATCCAAACACATGGAACCTGTCATATCTTTCCATTTTTTGGCTTCAACTTCCCAAATTATACCATCAAAGTAGACGACAGCTGCTTCTAACAGAAAACAGCTATCTAATCAGAAAAATTTAGGACCCTTCATAATCTAGAGCAAGAACACAGCAAACACACATATTTAGCACTTGGAACTTATCAGATCCAGCTATGTTTTAGCCACAGGTCTCTAGATTTTATTGTATGATATGGAGACAAATTGTTCCTACTCCACCATAAAAATTCTGGCACCAAAGAAAAATCCAAGTAGGTATGGCCTATTTTATTTCCCCACTTAGATCCTCAAAATGTAACTTTATAGATAGAATGAGAGTTGACTACACAAGGTCTATTGCAAATTTTACATTATTTGGAGTTTTTCTTAAAGCCAAAGACCACTGATATATAAAAAGGCTGTTGTTTTTAAAGTGTTTGGGTGCGTCTGGACTGGCAAGATTTTGCGCAAAAGCGGTTGATTTTGCGGAAAAACTTGCCGCCTATCTACACTGGCTGCTTGAATTTGCGCAAGAGCACTGACGTTCTACTGTAAGAAATCAGTGCTTCTTGTGCAAACATTTTGACGCTCCCGCTCAGGGATAAGCCCTCTTGTGCAAGAGGGCCAGTATAGACAGGCACCTTACTTTCTTGTGCAAGAAAGCCTGATGGCTAAAATGGCCATCGGAGCTCTCTTGCGCAAAGGCGTGTCTATACTGGGCATGGATGCTTTTACGCAAAAGCAAATCTTTTGCGCAAAGGCACTTGCCAATATAGACGCTCTCTTGTGCAAATACTTTTAACGGAAAAACTTTTCCATTAAAAGTATTTGCGCTAAATCATGCCAGTCTAGACGCAGCCAACGGCCCTAACTGTTGATGGAAAATACTCTACAGTGTGATCCTAATAGCTCAAAACCCAGAAGGAAAATAAAAAATTCAAAACCAAATTTAAAAAACCCTCATGATTCTCAAGCCAAACTTGTGGTTTTTAGGGGGCCCGAGTCCGGATTTTGGGGGTTGGCAGTTCTGTAGACAGCATGTGTCCCTTTTCAAACAGATCTATGTACACTTCATTTTAATAAAGCCACAACAAACAAAACCTCAACTTTTCTAGACACAGCCTAATTTGATACCAGAACACAGAAATCTGACCCATCGCATCTAGCAAAGATGGAAGATCATGTTCTGTATGGTTTTATCCAATCAATTCTTGACTGAGATTTCCAAAACAGTCTAAAAGATTTAGATCTTCCATTAACTTTAAGCACATTTCAACAGATGTGTGTCTAAATCCAACAGCTATGTAAATCACAGACCACCAGCTTTAGACTGGTAATGGGAAAATCTTCATCTACATGCATCTGAACCAAGCTGGTGCTGCTACAATGGCTTTCTATTTAGATGGTATATTTTGAAGTTTGGCAGTATGGGTGTATAAATAAAGACCAAGATCCAGCTGGATTCTAGTGCCAGATATGTTTTTTTTACAGCATTCATTCTCTAGATTGTAGCAAAATGTTGGATTACGAACTTCTTTATTACAGGAGTGTCCCTTGTTTTTTAATCTCTGAACAATAAGGTCAGGAATTGCTGAGTGCTGAAAAAAGCATCTGGTAAATGCACGTGTGTATTTCTACTAATTATTATGATTAATGATAATTATATAACAACAGTATCAGGAGGGCAGGTGAAGCAGGAGTGCTAAGAAAACAGTGTCTTTTTTCAAAAAGTGGTAGAAATGTAGCCGTGTTAGTCTGGTGCCGCTGAAACAAACAACAGGACTGTGTAGTGTAAATTTACAGCTACCTGGAGGCAGCTAAAGCTGATTTTGTGGATGTTATGTTGTATATGGCTACTTAATTATGTGTTGCTCAATACAAAATGAGTACAAGTTACATGAATAACCTCAGTCCTGTTTAAAAAAAAAAAAAAAAACTAACCACCACCCTATGTATCAAGGCCTATTGGTTTCGGGTGCCATAAAGCAGCTGAACTTGATTTGCATTAGAAATACAAGGCTATGCAAACACCAGGATGTACCAGTGCTCAGATTTTTATGGTACCCTTTGTCTCCATAATACGCAATACAAGCTAGATGTCTGAGTCTAAAACATTGCCGGCGCTGACAAGCCCCGGGCGCCAGTTGTGTGTCTTCGGGGCGTTCTTGCACCGGCTGAGAGGCAAATTTGGTGCGGAGGCTCGCGCCAGGCTCAGGGCTTGGCCACCCCCGTGCTCTGGGAGGTGCCTCCATGCAAGGGGCGCGGCTAGCCCGGCTCTCCCGAAGGAGGGGGCGATTTGGGATTCTACGGCCAAAAGTTACCCGGCTGCACCGTGCCCCCCCCACAGCAACTCCCACACCTAGAGAATCGCGCCCCGGGGGAGCACAGCCCCGGGCCCGGCGCGCCCAGGCTCCCGCGGGAAGGACACTCACCGCTCAGATAGTTGGTCCACTTGTACAGCACCCCCTCCCCGGTGGCAAAGGCCCCCCCATCCAGCTCTGCTCGGGCCCGGGGAGGAGCCGCCGCTCCCCCCTCCCCCGCCCGCAGGCGCCTTTAAGCTTCCAGCCGCCCCCGGCGCCCCTCCGCAGAGCCACCCACGCCCAGGGCCATCCTGGGGCTCGCTGCAGCCTGCGCCTCCCCGCCGCTAGCGCACAAAGGCTTCCGCATGCCCCAGGCGCCGCCTCACAGCCCCGCCAGCAGGCGGGACGGCCCAGCCTCCCGCGGCGCGGCCAGCACGTGACTCGCCTGCGCGAAGTCGGGCAAGGGCTCGATGGAACGCCCAGAACCTGGCGGAAGGCGGGAGGTTGCAGCAACCAATCAGCGTGCTGCGCCGGCAACCGCGCCACCCAATCGGCGGCGCACGGCAGCCGGTTCCATTGTGCGAGGATTCCAACGCAGTGCCGGATTGTGTACGGAGCGGAACGCCAATCATTGCCTTCGAGCGCGGAGCAGCGCCGGCCGCCGGTTGGGCGAGAGGGCAAACAGGCAGGTCCACTTCCCAATAGATGGCGACTTTTTCTGGCCCGCCTCTTGGGAAGAACCAATCAGAGGGAGAGGCGCCCCGCTGCTGCGGGCTGGGGTCTGGCCAGCTGAAGTTTGCAGCGTGGAGTTTGGTGGCCAAGTTTGCCACGTCTGCTGCTGCGGGGAGGGGATGGCTCCGGCTCACTCCTCTTCCCCTGGCACCGCCCACTCTGCAGGGGCTGGAGTCCTGGGAAGCCCTAAGGCGCTTTCGGGGCCAGTGAGACCTGCCCAGCCCAGCGCCCTGGCTGCGTGAGCGAGTCAGTCTGGCTCCTCCGTGCCGGCAATATTGGGGGCACCTGATGGGGACTGCTCAAGGCACTGGCTGTAACTGACCCAAGAGACGGATCGGTCCGGGCTCCACGCTCCCTGCTGGAGAAAAGCCCCTTGCACACCCCTAGGGTGCTTTTTATTCTTATTTTCGAGAAAACAGCCTTCCTGTGGCTCAAGGATGCGGCTTGCAGTCTGGGCTCCCTTTTTCACTGTGGTTGTTACCTGTAGCACGGGGGCGCTTATCCCAGAAGCCGAAGTGAAGATTGAGGTGCTCCAGAAGCCATTCATCTGCCACAGGAAAACTAAATGGGGGGATATGATGTTGGTGCATTATGAAGGCTACTTGGGAAAGGATGGTTCAATGTTTCACTCCACGTAAGTAACTCTTTCAGGCATAGTTATAGCGATGTAGCCGTGTTTGTCTGGTCTTGCTGAAACAAAAGACAGGACCATGCAGCACTTTAAAGACTAATAAGATGGTTTATTAGGTGATGAGCTTTCGTGGGCCAGAGCCACTTTCTCAGATCAAATTGTGAAAGAAAATTGGCACGATCATATATACACCAAAGGGATACAATATAAAAAAAATTATGGAGATTGCCTATCTCCGGAAGGGACCTTGAAAGGTCATCAAGCTGAGTCCCCTGCCTTCACAGCAGGACTGAGTACCATTCCTGACATTTTTGCCCCAAATGGCCTCTGCAAGGATTGAACTAACAACCATGGGTTTAGCAGGCCAATGCTCAAACTTCCCCTCCATATTTATATATGTTTATATTTATATATGTAAGATAAATACATATAGCTAAGGCACTAGGTGCTGGCCTAAAGCTTTTCTTGGCCATTCAGATGATCTTTAAAAAGTGCTTGGGTGTGTGGATAGTAGAATATATGTGTAAAACAACTAAACCCCATCAATAGCTTCCTTTCTCTCCCTCCCCCACCCCAATGAAGACCCAAAAATAAAACTACTTGGCTCCCAAACATCCAAGTCACTTCCCTCAGACAGTTTCTTGTGGAGCTCTTAGAACAGACTTAGGCAATAATTTTTAATGGGAGGCCATTCCAACATTTTGGTAACTGGTGAAGGGTTGCACTTCTGTGGAGAGGGTGTGGGGTCTGGGACAGCAGATGGGGTGCAGAAGGGAGCTTGGGACAGAGGACTGGGATGCAGGAGGGAGGGTCTGAGAAGGACTTTGGGTGAAGGAGGGGGATATAATCTGGGGCAAGGACTTGGGGTGCAGAAAGGGTATTGGTGCAGGAGAGGAGTCTGGTCTGGGGGAGAGGTGTTGGAGGGGATACAGGGTCTAGGAGGGAGTTGTGACCTGGAGAAGATGGGGAGAGGAGGTACAAAGGGTTTGGGTGGTGGCCTGGAACAGGTAGTTGGGGAGAAAGGGAATGGGCTGCCAAAGGCAGATTCTGGCCAGGAGTCACTTACCTAGGCAGCACCCAACCCAGCTGCTCTGCAGACTCCCTACCTGTGGGTAGCTCCACCTGGCTGTGCTCTTGCACAAGGTGGGAAGAGGGAGTGACGAGGCTTCATTCGCTGCCCTTATCTTCATCAAAATTTCTCAGCTCTTGTTGGCCAGAAACTGGCCAATGGGAGCTTGGAAATTTTGCTAGGGTGTGGGGATAGCCGGGGAAGCTTTTTCCTCCCTGCCCAGCTTGCAGAGCAGTTAGCAGCCTGCTCTTTAAAGTGACTGCCCCTGCTCTGTAGTAAGCGTACTGGCGTGGTGGCCGTGGGCCAGATCTTCTGGCTTGGTGAGTCGAATTCGGCCCACTAGCTGCCTCTTGTCCACCCTGGTCTTAGAAGGACTGGGGCCTTAACCCTTACACAAACATGTTTTACAATTCAGATATTGGCCTCAATTTTGCAACTATACATGGGTAATTCTATGTTAATAAATAGTCTTGAGTAACTCAGTGAGGTTTCTCCTGTGCAGAAAGGGACATTTGATTCCTGAACAAACTTTCAGAGATCTGGCCAATCAAGAATTTGTTTCTAGGACACTCTAATTTTACAAAGTAATTTCCACTAAAGGAAAAGTGGCAATTGTAACATTGATATCTTCTATCTAAACATCCTTCTACCCCGCTCCTGCTTCAAAAAATCCTCTGAAATCCAACTGAAAAAATCTACTACTCCAAAGAGAAATTTTATCTCCAAAAGAGAGAAGAACCAGAAATTCCAGGAACCCAGCTTCACTACTGCTAATGAGTTTACATGAAAGTTGGTCACATACTGTGGCAATGAGCAGCAATGAACATGTTTAAGAATCTGCAAACTAAAAACAAAATATGTCTTTCTACAAGAGTCCAACTACAGACTGCTTTTTCTCTCTTTACAGATCTGAACTAAAATCTTTCACTAAATAGTAAATTGTGATTAATCATCTGTTTATAGATAGTCTTTTAAGCCTCTTGTAAAAAATTGTATTAATGTTTGTTCTTTAATACATCTTCCATTGCTAACTAATTTCTGGTTTTTTTTTTTTACCAGTCTTCTTTCAATAGCTGGTAAATACAGCTGGCCAGAAAAATCTGATAAAAACAAAATGTTACTATTTTCACTGATAATCAACCATATTGGTTAATGAAAGATTTTAACTGCAGAGCTCTGAAGTGCTTAGATTTTAACTAAACAAGATTGGGCCTGGTCATCACTTGGATGGGAGACACTGTCCTAAATACTCCATGAAGTGGTTTGGAGGCACTTTTTTCTATTCTAGTATTTCTATATAACTGATATTCCATCATAGTATATGCGGCGAGGAGTCCTGTGGCACCTTATAGACTAACTGAAGTGTTGGAGCATAAGCTTTCGTGGGCAAAGACCCACTTCGCCACTTGCATCTGACGAAGTGGGTCTTTGCCCACGAAAGCTTATGCTCCTACACTTCAGTTAGTCTATAAGGTGCTACAGGACTCCTCGCCGCTTTTGCAGATTCAGACTAACACGGCTACCCCTCTGATACTTGACATCATAGTATATAACCATCACAGTACACAACAGAATGAGCTGCTAGCAGTGATTCCTGAATGCTATCTAAAGTAAAGAGTCCTGTACAGTGTGGTTGCTAGGGATGTCAACGTGTAGTCGACTACATGATTAACCAGTAAGCCTGGGCTTATCAGTTAATCCTTTAAATTACATGCGCACACACACCCTTGTTGCCTTTCTATCAGAGGCAGAGGGGCAGGGGGAGGCGAGAGCCAGTACCCATGGGGAGCCAGCCTTTAAGCTGGCTCCCCATGAGCACTGGATCCCGTGGAGCCACCTCCCTTCCCTCCATTCCCCTTCCCCTTCCCCCCATCCCGTGCTTCTACCTCTGATAGAGAGGCAGCAGGACGGACGGGGGGAGGAGGGAGCCAGTACACACAGGAAGCAGGCTCCCCATGCGTATTGGCTCCTGCAGAACCACCTGCCCCTCCTCCCCATTGCTGCCTCCCACAGAGGCAGCGTGGTACAGGGGCAAGCAAGAGCCAGTGCTCCGGGGGAGCTGGGTTTCAAGCCAGCTTCCCCTGAGCACCGGCTCCTCTTCACCTCTCCTGTGCGCAGCTGCCTCTAGAAGAGGCAGTAGGGTGGAGGGAAGCAGGGAGAGGCTGCCACAGAGCAGCCTCTGTCCATGGCAGGCCCAGGCTCCCTGTAGACAGAGGTTGTTCTGTGGGATGCTGGTGAAGCCTCTGTCCATGGGGAGTTCGGGCCCCCCACAGGCAGGGAGTGCTGCCGCCCATGCTGTTGCTTCTGATACAGAGGTAGCAGTGCAGGGAGGCAGGGAGCTCCCCAAAAGTGCATTGGCTGCTGGCTCCGCCCTTGGGGACAATCGAATAGACACATAACTGCTAAAATTTGATGCGATCACACAATTTTATTCAACTCGGGATCCAACATTGCTACTATTTGCTATGGCCGCATTCCAGCACAATACTTAAGTATGTTCCTTACTTATGCAAGTATCCCATTCAGATCACAGTAAGCATTTGAACACATACTGAAAGTTAAATGTATGTTACATACCGTGGAAGTCAGTGGGAATAAAATTCTTTAATGACTTGTCTAAATGTTTTGTTAAATATGAGTGTGATTACTCACCTGCTGAATTGAATTTAATTGAATTGGAGCCTAGGAATCCTCTGGCTTGCTGCAGCTGTATGGTGGTTACACCCCATACTAGCCAAATTTCAATTAGGTAGAATGTAACTCCTCCCCTCCAATCTGAACTTAAAGTTCTCCCTTTATCCATTTACTTCCTCTGTGCTAAACTTACACATCTGTTGTGTAGTTGTAGTGAGTTTCTACCTGATACGATTATTTCAAAAGACAAACATAGTTAACACTTTTAAACATGCTACATATTTTACAACCTACCATCAAGGTTTAGAAACAAATCTTAGGTTTTATTGCCTACCAACTAATCAATACAGCCATGACTTATCTTCGTAACAGTATGATTTCATTTCTACAATGATCAGTAACTAAATTGAAATCAATTTTCAGAGAAACGCATTACTAGATTTGCTGCATCAGGTACAGAAAGAAAATGTGCCACCTCTAAGCACCAACATCTTTATGTATAGGGTGAGATTTTGTTTTGCTTTTAATTTCACTGCACTGTTTAACATTTTTACTGTGCTTTAGATATGTAAAGACTAAATCTGCGGTCACTAAAGAGATGCCAAATTATTGTTTAGGGTGGGTTTTAGTTCTGTATTTCTGCAGTGTGAGCCTCTTCAACTTTGTATAATAGTTAATCTTCATTGATATATTGAACAGTTTAGGGACTAAACTATTTTGTTCTTTATTTTTCAGCCACAAGCACAACAATGGTCAACCTATGTGGTTTACGCTTGGCATAAGAGAAGTCCTTAAAGGCTGGGACAAAGGTTTGAGGGATATGTGTGTAGGAGAAAAGCGGCAACTAACTATTCCTCCATCCCTTGCTTACGGAAAAGAAGGGAAAGGTAATACTTTTAAATCTTCCTCAAGCTGACATTCCTATACTACATTACTATAAAACAACTACTATAATATATTAACACTTGTGTATTAAATAGTTAACTGTTTTTTCAGGTCTTGCAGGCTGTTCCCATTAGGAAGATAAATTAATAGGAATCAGATATTTTGTTGATGCAGTCCTGCATAATTACAAAGAATGTACATAAAGTCCTGTTTTCCTGAACACAGTAAGAATTAAGAACCAGTAGATAATTTCTTTGCTCATAGTTCCAAGACTCTTTGCAGTCAGCACACAACTGAAAAATATGCTCTTACATTTTTCTCAGTATCAAAGTGCTTCTCTGTCTGGCTATTGGCCCTCCTTGCTACCTTCTCAGTACACTTCTATGGCATGTCTACCGATACACACACCTGCCGTCACATCAGTCCTCACCCTGTCCTTGTTGTTAAGCCCATTGGGAAATTCTAGCCATTGCCCAGGTTTGTATATGCTCCACCCCCCTTCCTAAAGCAGAACCAACCCTAATTAAATCATCCCAGCCAGGGCTTTGTCAAGTTTAGACTTAAAAACCTCTAGGGATGGAGATTCCACCACCTCCCCTAAGTAACCCATTCCAGTGCTTCACCACCCTCCGAGTGAAATAGTTTTTCCTAATATCCAACCTAGACCTCCCCCACTGCAACTTGAGATCATTGCTCCTCATTCTGCCATCTGTCATTTCTGAGAATAGCTTCTCTCCATCCTCTTTGGAATGCCCCCTTCAGGTAGTTAAAAGCTGCTATCAAATCCCCCGTCACTCTTCTCTTTTGTAGTATTGATGCATCAGAATGGATAGTGGTAATATGGCTCCACATCACTTTAGCAGTGACTTTTCACTTTCCAAGGTGGTAAATACTTCCAGATGTCTCTTTAGGGCAAGAAAGTCAAACCTGGAGAGAGCCTCCTGCTGGGCTACAACAATAATTGTTTTTTTAATTATTATTTGAACAGTTAATAGGGCTAAGTACTTGTATCACTGGGGGTTGCATGTATCATTTGGATCTATGGCAATACGTGATCTTTAACACAGAAGGAGGAAATGTTTTCAGAGGAAATTTAACTCATCTACTGTACCTTCTCATAATCCAAAGGCGAGGTTAGGAACTGGGAATATTTGATTCCATATACAGGGAGTGGGTGGTAGTGTATTCTAGCAAAATTGGAGGAGCAAGGAGTGAGGGTAACTAAATAAAATAATACTTTCAGCTATAGCTTTCTAGAAACGCTTTTTTTGTCTTTAAGAAGTGATGCAAGAAGCAAAGAAAGCTTTTATCGTGTAATTTAAATTAATGCACCCAGGCTAGTCTTTTGCTAAGAGGATGCCCACCGGGCCTAATTCTTAACTACCATGCATCAGTGTAAATAAATACACAAAAAGGATGTCAAATGCTATAATTTTCACTTGATGTCACTTTCCATACATTTACTTAGAAAAAGTGTAAATAATTGAGATACAAGGTAATGGGAGAGCTTGCCCCAGGATTTCCAAAGAAGACTTGTCAATACACACAGTCTGACTTTGTTTTTTATATTAAAGGCCTGCTGAAGCATTAAACAAACCTGCCAGTTGCCATAAGAAGTAGTTTGTTCTTATGAAAACTGTCAAGTGTGTGCCTGCCTGCAGTTATTCTTAAATAATGCTTTCAACAGTACGTGAAATAACTGGCCCGTTTTCTTTCTTCATGTGACCTTCCTCAATACAAATATGCTATCCCCATGCCCTCCATCCTTGCAGCCATTGATCTTTCACCTGGAGAATGAGTTGCACTCATTCCTGAAACCCTAAGAAGAATCACCTCTCACCCACTGTTCCCTTCCAGTTGTGCTTGCAAGACTCTGTACCCACTTGCATATGTTAGAAGGTTGTTAGCATCTCTTTTACTATGATTCAGTGTAGCTGAGCTTTCTGGAGATCATTTGCACCTAAAGAGATGGCAGGAAGGAATCATTCTCAGAGCTGTTGGATACTGTTGGGGGCAGAGAGTTGTTGTCTGGCATGTCAAAAGAAGAATGTGTATTCTACTCCTGTTGCACAGCAGGCACAGAAATGAAAATGTGCTTCTGATAGCTGTGTGACTCAAACATTAAATAATTTAAACTGTCTTACTGATTGGCCCCAAATGCTAAGGGAAAGCCAGTGTGTGATTAAATTTAAAAATTCCAATCATTTTGAGACACAAGTGGATTGCTTTCTGTGTCAGCCCCCAGAAAACCAGCAGCTTATTCAAACATCTAAAATGAGCTAATTCACCTAGTGCATGTACACTGAGCACACAGGTACAATCAGATTAACCCACAGTATATTTTAAAAATTGAAATTCTGCATTGCAGCCCTAAAGCCAGCAGTGGGAGGATCACCCGGCATAGAGCAGTCCTCTGACACCCTTCCCATTTCTGCTGCTTATATAGGAAATGTGGGCTGGACTTTCTTAGGCTCTGGCTATCCTGAGCTGCCTTAAAAAAACAACAAATGGTCTGGTAGCACTTTATAGACTAACAAAACATGTAGATGGTATCATGAGTTTTCGTGGCCACTTCTTCAGATGACCGGAGTTTTGAGTTTAGGATGTGCAGACCCAAAATAAACAGAGAGGGAGAAGGAAAAAAAGGAGCTGCCTTGTCATCCCTTTAGTGCCAACTGAATTTAGAGCCCCATTCCGGACAGGGACAGCACAGAGACCACCTTTTACAAAATCACTCCTTGCTCTACACTGTACTGTCTGAGGCTGACATAGAACATTGTCTTCCAAAAGCATTGATGTTTGTAGATTGACTTATGTGCATATCTGTTTTCAGTGGAATGGCTGGTATGTGTAAAGGTACATACATGTTTCTCTCTCAGCAGGCCACTTAGTTTGAATAAGTCAGACTGTACCTGCACTCTACTATGCACACAGCAATTCTTATTAAGTCACCAGCAATCCTAACTAACTTTAATGAAACTGGATTAATAGAAGACTTTGCCAAAATATGGATGGACTTTTTAAGGTACTGAATGTAACATTTAATTTGTCTTAATGTTTAACATCTTCCATAGGAAAAATTCCCCCTGAAAGCACGTTGATATTCAACATTGATCTTCTAGAAATTAGAAGTGGACCAAGATCTCATGAATCATTCCAACAAATGGATCTTAATGATGACTGGAAGCTATCCAAGGATGAGGTGAGTGTGCTAACTTCTCAACAAAGTTAAATGAATGAAATAAAATAAAACAAAAGGAAATTCTTCTTTTTCATAAAAGGTTGAAGTAAAACTTCATATTTGTCAAGGAAGGATCTAGTGGACTATGGCATTAGAACAGCCGTCAGACCAAAGAGCCATGTAGCCCAGTATCTTGTCTTCCAACAGTGGCTAAAGCCAGGTGTTTCAGACCAAGTAATAATCAAGTGATCTGTTCCCTGTTGCCCATTCTAAGTGTGGTTTGCAGCATTTCAAATTTTTATATTGATTTGTGTGATTTCAAAACTTTTCAGAAGTGAAACATTATTTTGAACTTTTTGTACCACAACTTAGATTTCAAATCCTACTGCTGTAACGCCAACCTCTGATGCCACTTCATCCTGTCACATTCCTGAAAGGATGCATCATTTAATATTGGTTTGTCTTCTGCTGGCTATTTTTCTAATTGGAACTCTGCTTTTATATAGAAGAACTTAATGGTGGAAGAACTGCAGATTTCAACACTTAGTTTTGTGACCTGTGTTTATGGAATATTTTAGTGGTGGTTTATTTTATTTTAAACTAAAAATAAAAAACTCTAGCCATGTAGGCTTTTATATGTATAACAATCCTGTCCTGGGTCTCTCCTGACATTTTACACTTCATTTCCTCCTACTGAATTATACCAGTGCATACTAGCTATACAATATAGCTTTTCTGATGTTCAAAACATCCCTTCAGGCTGGGGTTCCCATATAGTGGGCCACAGCATACTCCTGCATGGTACACCTTGGGGAGAGTTTGAGGTAGGGGGTTGTCCCCCCCCCCCCCAATTATATATATATTGGCAGAGTATAATGGCCCCCACTGAGGGCTGGAGGAGCCCAGCACCCAACTGGGTGGCAGAGGGCAGATTAGGGTCACTGAGCAGAGGATGAAGAGAAGGGGCCAGCCACAGAAGGCGATGGTTCCCTATGTGGCTGGAGGTCTGAGGAGTCGTGGCTGTTGGGCATCCTGGAATATTAACCCGGTAGGCTCCTTAGGGTTAGGGCTTGGTGGTGCTGCTCTCTTACCACCTGTACAATGCCATGACCAGGACTGTCAAGGTAACAGCAGAGCCCAGCTCAAGCACCTTCTTCCACCTGATGTGTGTGAAGAAGGGCAGGGTGCTGGGTTGGTGACTAGGGCAGGGCTGCCAGGTGATGACTTCAGTCCACTTGAGCAGGAGAGGTGAAGGGTGTTGGCAGGAGCTAGCTGTGGCACCCGTGTAGCCCTTTTGCCTGCTCACTTGCCCAGGGCCCTGCAGAGGTGAAGAGCCACACATGTCCCACAGTGCCCTCCTCCCGTGACAGATGAATGTTAATAATGGGCCATAATGCCAATTGCAGCTGCACAGGTGGGCCTCGGGTAAAAAAAAGTTTGGAAACCCCTGTATTATGGGGCTAGGTCAGGTCACTACACTCCATTTTGGTTTTCAGTTGAGGATTGGAATTAGAGCTGAAAGACTGATGTCCTGTGTTAGCCAGCCTAGCAAATTATCAATATATTAATACCTGTTGACTTACCATAACAAATGCCACAAAGGAAGGCAGTGCACTGAAGTGGAAAAAAACAGATTTTAAAACTCAGAAATGACTCATTGTCTTGAGGTGAATTTAATCCTAAGAAAATCTTGGATATGTGGGGTAAATCCTGTGTAATTACCTAATGTACAATATCTTCCTACCCTGGCAGAAGGTTGTACGGTTTGGAATGCTCAGGAGTTAAGATAGAAAAGCTTTAAAAACTGAATGATGATTGAATTGTCACTCAGAATAATTCAATGTTATGTTTATCTACTTGTATCAGTCTGCAGAGGTATGGTCCAGCAATGAGTTTAAAGAGTTTTTAAATGTGTCTCTCATAGGTAAGATTTTTCTGGTGTTCGAATAATTTTTTAATACAGTGATTTCTGTTCCTGTAGTAAATGCTAGAAGTGGACAGTTTCCCAAATACATTTTATCTGGAAACTCAACCCAATATGCTGATAAAGATTTAAAACAGACACTTTTTTTTTTTTTTTGGTTAGATGAATCTAAGACTGTCGTCTGATATTTGTGAGCTAGAAAAATTTATTTTGTCCTCTGAATAACTGGAAGCCAAACATTTCCATTCCTTAGTTATATTCACTTTACAGTACAGCCAGCCAGACTAAAGGACATGCTTTCATGGCTCATTTTTCTAAAGCTATGATAATTTGTGCCTGCTATTTTACTACCTTTTATATCAGAGACCTTACTACCATCTCTGAGAGAGACTGCAGAACGCTATCAGACAAGTTTATAACCTTAGTGATAGTGGGGAGTAGATATTTATTGTCTAGTATATCCATACAAATATGATAGCTTTTCCTATGATTGCCTCTTCTTCAATAACTGAATTTTAATAAAGTCTTGTGATGAAAACTATTCATCTCTTTTGCTCAACAGGTGAAAGAATATTTGAAGAAGGAATTTGAAAAGCATGGAGCACCAATAAATGACAGCTATCATGATGTTTTGACTGAAGACATATTTGATAAAGAAGACGAAGACCGTGATGGATTTATATCTGCGAGGGAGTTCACATACAAGCATGATGAGCTGTAGAGAAACGTGGCAGAATTTTCCATGACACAGGGGTTAAGCGACTTAAAAGTGTCACATGTTATAACAATTTTATTCAGTATTCAGCACTGACAGTGTCTCATGGAACAGAAAAAAACATTTTTTTTATATTCAAAACACTGTCTGTCTGATGACCCAAAATGTTGTAACTATGTTTATGTATTGAAATTAAACCTTTTTGTACCTCAGTTGAAAAGGTACATGCAATAATGGTGGTTTTTCATGTACAAATTCTTATTTTGTATTAACTTATTTTGCAATTGTGAAACAAAAACTTGCCATATAAAAAACTTTATAAAATCAAAATGCAGTCCTTTATCTGGCTTGCATTTTTTTCTTCTATGTTACATATATAAATTCAGGTGACACTCTCTGTTTTAATAATATGATGCTAGTTTAATTTTAAATCAGTGACTTCAGTTACATGGCACTATTTTCCTATGGAAATCTGTGTTTGAAAAGCACAAAAAAAGACGTGCCAACTAATTTTTCTGAAGCAAGCAGTCAAAAAGGAAGTACACTACAAAAGCATAACATGTTATGAACCTTCTCAGCTGTAGCAATATAATATGCAGTAATCTACAGAAGATGGAATAAGAAAATCACAATCTTCCACTGGTTTATTTTTATATATACAATAAGTTTCCTCGGTGTCCCAAAAATCAGTACTGTATTTGGTATTTATTTCAATGATATGAACTAGAACCAAGGTAGGAGTTGTTGCCTGTTATTTTTGGTATGAAACTGTCGGTTATTAAAGTTCCATTTGGGGTAGAGAGGGAAGGGGCATGTGTACAAATATTTCAAAAATAGCAACTTACAGCACAGCACCTTCACTTTTAAATGGAAAACGTACTAATACTAGTAAACATATTATGCATTGGAATTAAGGAACTTGCATCCATGCAGAGAGACCATTCATTTCCTTTGACTACTAAATATGCTTTCGGCTGAATGCTCAAGTTTCTGTTGCTTCACTTTGAGGGGGAAAGGTATCCTGAGAGGAAGTGAAGTGGTCACAAGGACACCCGTATTGATCCAGTTCCTGTCCTTGTCTTAAATTGTATGGGGTATATGTTTGTCTTTTTTTTACATTGCCCATGGGGCAAAAGCAGTATTTTTTAGAGGTGTGTACTGTACAATGCAGTATGGTTCTTGCAGTATTTTCTGAGTGTTCCTTAATTGAAGATTAAGTGGACTGAAATTTTAAACAATAAACTGACTTTGAATATATTATTCTGGGCATGAATGTTTCATTGTGCTACATTGTCATTATAGAGAACGTGCAAGATCTCTTCTCTCTCTTGACATTCCTTAGTCTGACTAAGGGAGATAACAATGGCCAGTAGCAAGACAAGACTTGATGGGAGTGAAAGAAATAGTAGCTGGGCTTTCAATAGAGAAGATGCTGTTTCCAAGGGGCTGTTTCTCCAAGGTTGACGCGCTAAGATAAAAGGGGCACTAGACAATGAAAATCTTCCTCTGGAGAAGGAGGGAGCTTCAGTGGTCAGTGACTGTTCAGGAAGAGTAGTAAGGCTGGGATGCAGGCCTGGTGGAATGTCAAAGGCAGCTAAGAGTTCCAGGTAAGACCTAGGCATACAGAGCTCCTGTAACTTTAACCTTTTTCGCTGCACTTGGGTGAATAGACAATTTGTCTGATTAGAATAGTGGTGGGGAATCTTTTTGCTAACATAAGCCACTGACCCCCAGAAAAAAAATCAGCTGCGGGCCACACACAGCCGGGACTGTGGGTGCAGGTTTGGGGCTTCCCCAGGGTTATGGGATTAGGGTTGCCAACTTTCCCAACTAGATGGACAGGACACCATTCACAATGGCTTTGGGTTGGGAAAGTTGACAACTGTAATGGGGGTGGGCCTGAAAATGAAGGGCTCAGGATGGGGGAGGGGGTTCCAGGCTGAGTCAGGGAGTAAGGGTGCAGATTTGGGGAGGGAATTTTGGTAAAGGAGGGAGTTGGGGCAAGAGGATGGATTACAGGAGGAGGTGTGGGGTACATACTTCCACCAGCTCCCAGATTTGGAAGTGTTTGGTACATGTCCCTGCAGCCTCAGGGGAGGGTGAGAGGGAGCAACCCTGCACACTGCCTTGGCCTGCAGATGCCACCCCTACAGCTCTATGATTCCCTGCCGATGGGAACCATTGTCTATGGTTCCCAGCCGATGGAAGCTCTGGAGGCTGCAGCTGTAGACAAAGGCTATATCTATACTGCACTGCTCTTCCGGAAAAAGCTACGCAAATTGCACAATTTGTGTAGCTTTTCCCGCTTCTTTTTTCAGAAGAGGCTTTTCCAACATTTGGCCCATCTACACTGGGCCAAATGTCAGGAAAAAAACCCTTTTTCAGAACATCCCTTCTTCCTCGTAAAACGAGGTTTACAGGGATGCTGAAAATTTTGGAAGAGCAGACGGGTTCCCTGGATACGGCAAAGCTTTTCCGATACAGTATACAGGTAGCCAAAGGTAGCCTGCAGAGCTTCCCGAATTGCTGAGAGTTGGCGCACTCAGTTCCAGGGTTTTCAGCCTGTGCTGCAGAGATTTGCCCAGGGCCAGATGAAATTAAGCAAGGACCTAAGGTTCCCCACCCTGGTTTCAAAGAAGTTGCACTTTAATCATCCATCTGCTGGTTACAGGAAAGCTTCTCACAAGTACCAATTACAGTTGGGTGTCTTGTGTTAACATGATGATTGGAAATGGGGGCTGCCACTCTCGGATCCAGACTAAAAGTGGTAGAACCACAGGGTTCCATGTGGGCGAGGAGAATATAACAGAGACTGTCACATCTTGGGTGCATTTGTGTGGGAATAAAGCACTGCTCAGCCTGTTACTATGGCAAAATGATGGGAAATACAAGGTGATGTAGCCTATGATCTAGTAGTCTGATCAGTGGGGTACACTGAATTCCATTCTGTGAAGATAGCAGATAGTAATATTGCCAATGCCCATGGTTTTGTCTTTTTTGTTTATTTTCCTTAAAGCCTTAGCTTCTGGAGCCAAATGGCGATATGATGATTTCTGTGTTCATTCTTTAAGTTTCTTGCACTGTGGTGAAAACTTTGAAATGTGACCTCAGTGCACCCTAACTGCTCAGAAAGCAAAGGCAAATAAAAAGAATATAAAATCTACTATTTTTATAGAATCTCATGATTTTTAAAGCCAATCATCATTTCTGGTGAGCCTGACTATTTTATTGTTAAATATTTGGTGTTTGGCAATACTGAGGTAGAGTTCTGTCACCCACTTCAAACTATTGTTCTTCTTAAACATGGGAGAGAATTCTCCTTTTGTGATTTCTAGTTATATGGGCCCACAATCTTGCTTTATGCACAGGAGAAGTCCAATTTGAAGTCAGTGAGACTATGAACATTCTTAAAGCTAAGCATGTGCAAGGAATGGAGTCTTAGTCACTATAGTCTGTTAATTAAGAATATTAATGTGTAGAGCCCTACATGGATACAAAATTTGTATACATATTTGATCCACTAGAATAGTCTGTGGATATATGCAGATATTCAGGGCTCTGGTAATTTGAAGCATAATCTGAGCTTCCTAAACCAGGTATTTGTTCTGAACTAAGCATTTTTTCACTTCAAGAAATATTCTGTGCAAGGGGATTGCAGAGGAAGAAACGGTCATGTTATACAACTCTCTGTTTTGAGTGGGAAAGAGGAGGGGTGTGGAAAAGAGTGGATGTGGGATCAGATTAAGATAAATTAGCACAAAGGTGCACATTTCCATTATTTTTCTGTTTGGTTTCCTTTCCTTTTTTCAAAAAGCAAGACTTTTTAAAAATATTATTTTTGCAATGTTTCTTCAGTAGCTGACAAACATGTTTTTTGGTTACTGCATCTCTGCCAGGGGATAATGTAAGCATTGTTTCTCTTGTGTTTTATGGGAGTGATGGATTGGTGAAAGCTGTGAAATGTTCCTATTACCAAATAAATTATTCAAAACAATACAGTCATGGTAAATGAATTTAGCAAATATGTAAAAATATAAATATACCCCCCACCAGAATATTAAAGCTTCAGGGGCTAGTATAACTTGGCATAGTTCTGCTGAAATCAGTGTAGTTATAGAGACCTCAAGCAATTGAATATCTGGTTCTACTTCCTTAGTTTGTGGAAGCTATGTAAAACAGCCTGCAGTTGGCCTCCACATCAGTTACAGGTTCAGGAAGCAAGTTCAACAATTTTACCTGCATCTGAACCCTTTGCTTCATCCCTGAGCCTCTCCCATATCCCAACCCCCTCATCTCCAGCCCCACCCCAGGGCCAGAGCC